TTTCAGTTGGTACCTAGACGCATATCCCACCTAAATACAGTGACGCAGATTTGTATCTATGTACTGCATATGCATATACTCCATATACTCCAATATCATAAATCTATGGCCTGCTTAAAGTGTCTCATAGGCTGCTAGAAACAACGGGATAATGTAATCACCCAATGAGGTGAATATACGGAGATTCGATTCTTCAGGACCGCTTTACCAAACAAAACTTGCTTTACCCTAACCTCTTACGGTGATATTCCGTGACGTAGGTATTCACCTCAGCCATTGTTTCATTTTGGCCGGCTATGCTCTTATGCTGAAATAGCTTTTGACAGCAGACAATTACCTACAGAATCACATCGATTTTTGCTAATGAATTTTCAGCAATCTAAAACAGCGATTAACGAAAGTTAACGACTGTTCTTGACGGAATTGCGCAAGGCTCTGAAACACAATTGGATTCACTGTGACGTTTGAGTTTGCCACAATTCTGACATATTAAACTTAGGCCTTAGAAAATTTGTAAACGAATGCTATTTGTCTTAGCACAAAAGATTGTCACCTTAGAAGCAGCAGCACGTCGAGGATTTCTAATTGGACTTGTGGTCTTCATCACAGGTACAAGGTGGTCCGTTTCAAATGTCACAATTGAATAGCTTTCTTATCAGTCAGTAAATCTATGAAAACTGTTCCAGTTGATCGACTTATTAATAAACTTACTCTATGAATAATCACTAATGATCGCACTATATACCGAAATCGATCTTGTGTAAAGTTTGTATCCAAACATTCGGTCGCTTATCCGCCTTCGGAATGATAATTGTTCAGTGATCTCCTGGCATATCGAAGCTGCAGTTCTCTGATTTAGACGTTTTTCTATTCATAAAGTGAAACCATTTATTCTATGGTTCTAACAGCTCGATACGACTTCCAGAGATGGATCCATTATGTTATGAAATGTCGGGCAATTGGTGCATAACACCGGTGCTGGATAAATCCACGGAAGTAACCAAGGTGCAATGCAGACCTGAAGTAGCCTTTCTTAAGCTTCTGAAAAAAATATAACAATCTCATCAGATATCCTCCTCTGGCAACCTGACCCTTCTCAAAAGCGCATTTAGAGTATGTATTTCCTAGCAAGTTTTAAGAGAAACAAGAACGTAGATTTGGTGCCAATAATGTCTCAGCAGCAAACCTGGTCAGTTTTGACTGACCCTGGGTTACACCATCTGCAGGTCATGATGGTGAATAAGCATTTGTCAGTGGCTCAAGGTGAATTGCTGGTATGAAGCCTTCGAATCTGGGTCTAAGAACACCAGAACGCCATGCCGTGATGTACATGTTGTTAATCAGCAAAAGATCTGAAGTCTGTCTCTTGGCTGGTTGCACCAAACAATACGGAATAAACTGCTTTCTTAAGGGAATTAACAATTAGGACAAGGATCGTTCCACCTCTTGATATTATGAACAACTGTTACGGATCATATTTCTCTGAATTGGACATTGGGTGCGCACATGCAAATTCATTTTAAAATATTTAGTAATAAACGTATATAGACTTATCTTCTTCTAAATAGAGTATTCTTTGCGATGCATGCGGTCCAATTCGCATTACGTGGTGTAGAGCAAATATTTTGCTACAGCCACATACATGAGTTGGCGTGCGGACTCCGGTTGTTCGTTTCAACTCAGGATAACGCCCTAGCCACCCTGTGTGCTGTATCAGCTCAAATATCATTTTGCCGTTACGTGCTTAATTGGACCCACTAGTTTTCTAGACGGAAGGACCTACACCGTATAAATCTGGTAAAATGTCTTGACTTCACAGCTTTACTATTCGAAACTACCATTTCTGGTGGTCGTCCCAGAACACCGGATATACCTGGTAATTATAATTATCAATTTCAATAAATTAACTCATTAATTTAACCAATGATTGTATGTCTTGAAACC